TTTTTAATAATGACACAGGTGGCTCGGAAAAAAAAAACAGGAGTCTAACCTATGACTAGTCCAGACACGTTTGGACTAGTAACCGGTTCGACTCGGATGTTTCCTTCCGAGCTGCCTGTGTCACGCGTGTTACTAATAAAAAACATAGTTTCTCACGTATGACCAGGCTTAAAAAGTTAAAATTCTCCATCAGCTTGAAAATCATCGCAAAGAATTGTTTTCAACCGAACTGCACTGGGAAATTTTCTGTTGCATAGCTTCATACGATTACAATTTCCAAAAAGAGGCTTGGTCACGTGACATCGCCCGAATCGAAGATGGCGAGAGAGATGTAAGTATCTCTCATTGCACTGATTTTGTGTTTCTTTCCATCTCTACTCTCTTCTAAACTGGTCTTGTTTTTCACTGAGCCTATTAAAATTGAATGCTTCTTTTCAGGAGACGTTTAAGAAAATCGGGGGAATGAGAAAGATACGATACCGACGACTTGTTGTCGATAAGCGAATGACCTCTTCAAATCATCACTAACAAGACGTTCTCTCACACCTATCTACTTTAGCCGAGTCCCTCGCAGTCGTACAACAACCAACAAGCAATCACTTTCAATGTAACTTTGAATTTAAGGCGAATTGCCAGTCCGATCCGATCCTCAATCCGATCCTGGTTTTCTTAACGGCCTTTCTCAGTCTCCACGAATCCCTCAAAGGGGCCACCATCTTTGTTTTGGAAGGAGTAAGCCAATGAGAGCGCACGTATGATCGCACCATGGAATACACCAATCAGCGATCGTGTGCCAGGGTCTTCTCTCCTTCCGCCGCCATATTGGAAAACGAGAAGACCCTGGGGACGAGGTTGGGATTTTTCTGACCAAAATTTTCAAAATGGCGGTCAATGGGAGGAATTTTAATCGAGTACTAGAGAGAGTTTGTGACATTTCCACAATACCTTCGCTTTACAGTGAGCAAAAAAAAAATGCTTAGAGGCACTTTTTGAAGGAAAAGACGTCTATGCAAGTTTACCAACTGGGTATGGGGAGTCGTTAAATCTTTTATGCATCCCCAATCGTCGCTTATGAGCTGTTTTGGCGATCACGTGGAAGCAGCAAAGTAATGATTATTTCACCTCTGAAAACGTTCGTGGAAGACAAGGTCTCGTCCTTTAAATCTTTGGGCCTGCCAGCTATTGCTCTACATGACGAGCAATCAAAGGAAAAGCTAAAGGAAGTGGAAAAAGGAGCGTTTACCTACGTGTTCGCCTTTCCCCAAAAGATATGCAAGCTTCTTTTAATGGTGTTTGAACCTGTTTTGAATGGTGTTTTAACCTGCCGTTAATGGTGTTTAAAATTATTTTAATTGTGTTTTTAACTGATTAAAATCACGTGGAAATATATTTAACATTTTTTAAAAGCCAAGGAGGAAATTTCAAATTCAGAAAAAACTTTTTAAAATACATTTTACTAGTGTTTCCAACAGGCTAAAACACCATGTTTAACTCATGAGGACGCGCGAGCGTATCACGAGTTATTGCAGGGACAGAGATACGGTATGCAAATGAGTCTCTCGCTCACTCGTAGTAGACGCACTTCGTAATTAATCGGGTCCGAACTCGAGAGTGCCAAGATCTATCGTTTCCGACTGATGCACGCGCTCGCCGAAGTTCAGTGCCGTTCGCTGCTCAGACTCAGAGTTATTTTCTACAGCATGGATGGAGGTCTTACCAAATTTAAGACACGCAGGAGTCTTTCAGATCAGTACGATGGCTAACTTGCGGTTTGGATTTCAAGAAACCCTCAAGAGCCTTTGACTCGTCCAGGCGTTAAACTTGACGAGAAGATGACTAAAGCATTTGCTCTTCGACTCTGCAAGATCACTGGGGATATCAAATTCCTGCAGCTAGCTGGAAAGTGAACTTAAAGTGAGAAAATGTCATGCCATGCTACTCTTAAGAACCTGTTTGAGCCGAAAATGGATGTGATTTTGACCATTAGCTTCAAAATAGCAGCGAAAATCGAGATAAGAAAAATATGTCTTGCGTCCTACTTCGCAAACGAGATGTATCAGCTTTGTAAGGCATATGCTCTTTCATTTCCATGAAATACGTTTACATTCTTTTTAACTGTCTAGCTTGGTTAATTGGGCTCGATCATCTTTAAAACGTTTGCCGGTGGAAGGTCCATGGAAAGGCATTAAATTTTAATTTAAAAGACTTTTCGCCGAAGTCATGTTATCAGCCTTAGTGGCGTAGTGGTAAGGAGAAGTCGCGTCAGTCCGGACGCGCCGGGTTTAAGTCCTTCTCAGTACTTTTCTATTTTTAGTTCTTTCTTTGTTTCCGTTTTTGTTTTGTTTGCTTATTTGTTTTGTTGTGTTTTCTTTAAATATGTACCTAAATAACTGTTATTTAATAAAGTGCAATAAACCGGACGAAAAATATTATATTTCCAGATGGATAAACGATCTGAATTTTCATCATTTACTACAATTTAATGCGGGAAAACCACAGGCGGCTCAAACTCACGTTACAATGTAATTTACATACCATAGGTGACGCGCTGGTGTCGCGTTACAGGCGACCGTTGAAAATTTAAGAGACTTTGTATGAGAAATATATTACTGAGATCTGCGAACGCTAAATAACGCTAAACCTTACTATTTTTTAAATGAAATGAATAAAAAAGACTTACCTGCAATCTATTCCACTGCGTTTTGGTGTCTGATTGTCGTTTACTGGTTTTTTGGGGCTTTATTGCGTAACCACTGTTACTCCTTTCATAGAACCACAGGCAGACCACCTTCTGTTTAGTCAGGGCCCTTGTTGATTGAAATCTAAGCAACGATCTTTTGTTAGTTATAGAAGAACTACATATGAACGATACAGTGGCTATAATTTGTTCCAAACTGCAGAATTTTAAAAAAATTTTTCAATAAAAGTTTGGAGAAAATGTTAACTGAGTCATGTGTCATGTTTTTTCGCCTTCCCGTGCTGTTTTAAGCGTTATTTTGCGAGATGAAAATTTGACCTCGGCGGTTAGAACTAAAGAAGGAGACAAGGCAGGCAGCAATTTAAGCTGGAACTGACGCCAAACTATTTAATTTCTTACCTCGAAAATACCGGCTCCCGATTCACTAGATATGTATCCATGCCCCATCCGAATGGGAGCTCATTAGTGCCAAAATTTCTCGAGAAAAGCGATCCTGAAGTTGCAAGACCAGCTTTCTCAACATGACCGGTGCAAAAAACTCAACCAAAGGCATTTGAGGTATGCGCGTCGATTCAAAACCACCAATCAGCGTATCGCGACCAAACAAACATCTCTGTCTGAGGCAGGGTTGTGGTTTTGAGCTGCCAACGGTCCGCCGAGTCGATCATCCGCACGTAGAAACTACTCAAGGCACTCACGCGCGTCTTGTCAAACAAGACCTTGTCGGTCGTGTAGACCTCGACCATCAGCCTATACGTTTTCCCCACGCTCAACTTGGTGGTGCCTATGATCCAACCAAACTTGGGTTCGTACTTGTTGCCGCTTTTCGTCAACGTCATGCCCATGGTCTTCTTCTTCTTCCAATAATGGGGGGAGCCTTCCAGATTGACAAACCCCAAGGAGCTAATACCCCCGTCTTTCTTCCACACGCTCTCGTCGTCCATGATCCATCGGAAATGATTCCACAGGACCTTGGGAGGGACGTACACGTGCGTGGTGGCCTGGGCATAGGCTTCGTCCAGATTCACAAACTGCCAATCCACCACCATGGACAAATACACCATGCCTCGGTGCACCTGCACGTAATCCGTAAAGGTGACCAATTGATTCTTATCCGCGGACGCCGCGACGTTCGGATTCTTGGGCTGGTTCAACAGGGGGTGCATCAACAAACTGGGTTCCAGAGCATACGTCCCGTCCTCTTTTTTCACCACCCACCCCATCGTTTGGGCCAACACCAGATTGAACCCCAGGTAAGGGCACAGTTTATTGAACGACACATTGGTTTTGAGATTCAGGATCCACAACGTCGGCACCCCCGCGTCCTTCCATTCGTACCGAGGCGTATAATCCACCGAGTCGGTACTCAAGTTATACCCGGTATAGAGTTTCTTCATCACATCTTGTCGCAACCAACGGAACACTTTTTTCATGAACACCACCCCCGTGGCGGCTTCGGGCATGTCGGCGTCCTCCATGGTACTGGTGATATCTTGCGTCCTGGTCCCATCGGTCCTCTGGAGGGCTCGGGAATACATGCGCACCAATCGCTGGTTGGTCGATCCCTTGAACAAATTGGACTGCCGATGTTCCATGAGAGGGGCCCCAGGCGTGGTCGTCACGGGATGCGACGTCACTGCATGCGACACCGTGTTGGGCGGTCCGGGTAAGTAGACCCCGGCCACGCCCACCTACCAGTTCTTGACGCGTAAGGGGTACGGCAATCGCACCTTGAACGAGGCCGGGGTATTGTGGGGAAACTCCGGCTTGCTGGTGTTACTCAGGAGCGTGACGTACAGCGATCGACTCGACGGTTCCAACTCTCTTTTTTCTGTCGGGTGGGGGACGGACCTCTTTTATAGGAACGTATTCAATTTACGCTTGGACCCGGGCACCCGGCCCACCGTACTATGCAAACTAGAGCGTTTGGGTCAGACTTTCAACGCATAATCGGCCTGGGGAAAGGCTTGCACCAATTGACGCAAGGTCGTGTCCAAGCGGACGCTCTTCCCGCGCTTGACCATGCCTCGCAATTTGGCCCGAAACGCTCGCTGGGCCTTCTTGGAGGGCCGCTTCTTCTTGATCTTCTTGACCTTCTTCTTCTTCCTTTTCTTGGTCTTGGTCCGTTTAACCTGGGGTCCGTACGTGGCCTCCAACCGTTCCATCATATCCATCCAGGTCTTTTGGCTGGGTAACGGGGCCGTCTGCATTCGACCAAACGGGGCCGCCAACGGGGCGGGCATCAAGGCCACCCGACGACTCATCACGAGACCAGGCTACGCTTAGGGATCCAACTGTCGTATTATTTGGGCCAGCCTTTCCAACGCACCTTGACCTCTTGGCGTCGACGCTGCAACACTTTCTCCACGCGAAACAGAGCGTCGTCGGGGACGTCGACCTTCTGCACGTCTTGCTTGTAAAAGGTACCTTTGACGGGCGTACCGTCCCACTCCTTGATTTTATAGGTCGCCACGGGCCCCGGCACGGCCCGGTCGATGAGAAACACCTCTTCGGTCCAACCGGGCAGATACCCTTTCTCGAACGGACGGTGCTGTTTCTGCAAACGCACGCGATCCCCGGCTTTCCATTTGGGGCGCACGCGACGCGCCAGACGTTTCCCGTACAAACGTTGCCAGACCTGGCGTTGGTTGGCCCACGTCACGTCGCGAGGGGGCATGCCGATACTGCGGTGTTTGGTCACATTGTAGCCCTGCACCAACGCGGGTAACGCGTCCACGTATCGGTACGTGTTGCGGGCGGTAAAGTAACGGTACATGCGTTCCTTCAAGGTCCGATTGAATCGTTCCACCACCGACGCCTTGGTATCCCCGTAGGTCGAGAAATGATGAATCTTCCGACGCGTCACATTGCCTGAAACGACCGGCTGTAAAACTCTTTGCCGGCATCCGTCTGCAATCGCACGGGTTGGCGTCCTCGGGCCCGTTTCAGGATGCGTTCGAACGCCGCGGCCACCGCCACGCCCGTCTTGGCCTTCAGCGGTTCCACCCAGGCATATTTGGACAGCACATCCACCACCGTCAACAAATAGCGCAACCCCGATTCCATTTTTTCAACGGTTGCATCTCCACCAGGTTGGCCACCCATTGGTCGTCCATCCCATGCACCACCACCGGCAGGGTAGGGAAGCGTCGTCGTCGCGGTTTGTGCAACGTGTAACTCAACAACCCTTGCAACTGGGCACGGGCGCGAGCCGCCGGCACGCCGTGCGCTTGCGCCAAACGCGCGACACCCCCTAAACTCCCGCGCAACGAGGGCGTTTCATAGGCGTCCGCCCAACTCACGCGGCGCTTCTTCTTCCTTCATGTCGCACGCACGCGCTGCAATCACGACAAGACACAGTAGACTCTTTATTTATTTTTTTATTGATTCACAGGACGTCCCTGCCACCAGGCGCGTTCTGGGTCCAGCCGTGATTGGCGGATCTCATTCAACCGCTCCAGCTCGTCGGCAGTAAAGACGCGGCCGAGCCACACTTTAGGTTTCCCCTCCAACCAATGCTCGCCTAAGTCTCTCAGCACCCGTGGACTCTCGGGATGATGACCGTCTTCCCCCTCGTACCAAGCGTACGCCAACAGCAACACTTGACGACGTGCCTTCGGCGTGCTGGCCCCTTGATACTCCTCCCAAGCGCCGTGCATCCACGGGCGATACCTCAGTCCTTCGAACATGCCCGGGGAGGTCAGGGTGTTGTGCCCATTGTCGCACAGCATGAACCCCTTGGTCGCTAACCCGTCCACGCCCCGCATTCGGGCGGCCAAGCATTCTCGTTTGGCTCTGGGGAGGCTGCTACTGCTCCACGCTTCGCCACGGACGCGACGACGCATCTTGCCCGACAACGGGAGGTTCAACCACAGAAAACAGCGACAGCTTCCGTCGCGACAGGCCAGGTACATACGCTGGGGGTTCTTCTCCGACCCGCTCTTGCGCAGCGACAACCGTCGATCGCAAAAACAGGTCAACTCGTCCCATCGTTGACGCAGCTCGTCGTGCAACTGTTGGGCCACCAGGGTCATCCATTCGTCCACGCGGTCTTGGGGACTGAACACGGGACACGTGTCGCGCGGGCAGTAGACATAGACAAACTCGTCCTTGCTTCCCTCGGACAAGGCCTCGTCGGGACGCAACGGGCACATCCACACCCCGGGTCGGTCCACTGGCGCGTACGGGACGGGATCCGTCTGCGTGGCCTGATCCATCTCGTTCAAGAACCAGGCGGCCAACTCGCCTTCTTCCAAGACCTCCGTCGTCTCCTCCAAAGCGTCGTCCGGTCGACGTTTCTCGCCTTTGGCACGACCGGCCGGCAAGGGCGTCGGACGCGTGGGTTGTCTCGTACAAGCGGCCATGATGACACTAGGCCGCAGTGACCGCCCCGCGCCGTTTTATACTCCCTGTCTATCACGTGTCACCAGGACGTCCCCCACGCCTTATAAGGGCCTAAGTCACCGTGATAGGTCAGGTCGGGCTCCGCCCCCGCGTGCCCACACCTCCCAGGGCGCATGACGGCGCGTGTAATGGCCCGTGGCTCCTTTGGCGCCCATGCGCTTGTAATCTTTCCTCTTGCCCAATTGATAGCCGATCTTGGCCCATTTGGTCAGAAGGCCCAACAAACCACGCCCCGACATCGTGATTGAGTGACTGCGGCGGCGGCGCCTTCTCCGTCGGACTAGTCTCATGATTGGCCGGTCTCTCCTCCCGTGCTCTATAAATACCCTCTCTTCCCCCGAGTCCCGTCCAGTCATGCAAAAAAGCCCCCTGTCACGACCGTCCAGGCGACGGAGGAGAAAACGTCGTTCGCTCGGAACCATGCCCACACTTCAGGACTACACGGTCTACACCCCCGACAACCAAATAGCCAACCTGGCCGAACGCCAGGGGATGACCGTTCACCTCATCAAGGGTCCGACCCAGCACGTGCTACGCGAGGCACACACCGTCTACCCCTTTGGGTCTTACACACCCCTACGTGACATGAGCAAAACCGAACACGTGACCGAGCTAGCCTCGTCCTTGGGCAAAGAGTTGTTGTTGTATGACGTCACGACCGGGCAATGGTATAAACGCGCCCCCAGCGACCAGACCTTCACTCCGCTCTCGACCTCGACCTTTCCGGTGCTTCATCCACGCAGTGCCGTCTTGGGCATCCGTTCCCTGCTGCTGCACCACCTGCAACTCACCTCGCTCTTCCAACACACCCACGACACGCTGTCCCCATGAATGCCGAGTATCATCGCCGTCTACGCCTCGACGACTATCGCACCTTCGACGAGTATCTACGCGAACGAATTCGACGAGGGTTGCAAGCCCATCACGATCACACCGAGATGCTCCTTCACCTGCAAGATCAATACCGAGAGGCCTACAAGCGCTACATGCAAGAATTGGCGCAACGCGATCGCCCCGAGCGATAATCAATAAACATCTTATTTTTAATCTGAGGGTTGATCATTGACTTTTGCAAATGTGGGCTGGACCCCAAAGGGGGTCCCTGTTAAACATTAAAAATGGGTAGTGGATTCAGCGGGCGGTCTTGGGGCGGCGGGGGGCGGAGTCTCTTCAACCAGTCGCGTTGGGCCCACACGTTGTCCACACGCCGCATCTTTTTTCGAAAGGCCCGTGATCTTTCTGGCACTGGCGCTCTTCCTCTTCCTCCTTGTTGCCACACTCGTGAATCTCGTCACAATGGATGCAACGTACGTAGGGCCACTCGGCTGCCTGGGTAGCCCGAAGGTAGTCGTCGTGGCCAAACACTCGCCGGAACCACCGGTACAACCTGGGGTCGGCGTCGCTGGCAAACACCCTCCGGATCAGTCGCCTCCAAAAGTACCCCGTCACAGGCTCCAACAGGCTGCCATGGCGAAGGATGTTAAAACCCTTGAGGTTGATGATCCGCTTGCGTTTGGGGCACCGAGGCAACTGTCGCATCTCCGCATGCACTCCCCACCACCTTAACCCCATCAATCGATCCTTCGCCAAGGCCAATCGATACATTCTCGCAATAATCAATAATACATCGTCGGGTAACACCGGCAAATCGTCAGGGACGGAGTCCGCCATCTTTGTTCAAAGACCAACTGCAGACAACCTGAGTCGCGACCGGTTTCACCTCTTATACTCTGGGTCACGTGCCTTCCCATCGCCCCCGTTCGACCCCTCGAAAAGAGGGGGGATGGGGGGGTATCCCCTCTCCTTTGAGGCCCTTCCCAGAGGGGCTTTGCGCCCCCGTCCCAGGATCCATATAAGTCCCCCTCCCATCGACCCTGCACCTCGACACGGATCATGCTGCTGATCGGGCCAGTCACGGTGTTCTCCTTCGCGTTCTTTTGGGTTGCCATCCTGCTACACACCCAAGTGTCCCACCTTCACCACGATGGCCCCCAAGGCGTTCAGCAAAGCCTACCTGCTCGACAAGTTAGACGAATTGTGGGTCCTCCGGGAAAACATGCACAACGAGTTAGACTGGTCGTACGAATGCAGGCTCGACCAGTTGACCAAGAAAGTGACGCTCCACTTGATCGACCCCCACGAGGCGGAGAAGCAACGCCAGCAGTACGAATTCGTGTATACCACGTGCGTCCAAAATCTGGAGACATTCCACGCAGGAGCCCATCAAATGGAGCCTCCATCTCCAATAATTTCTTGAGTCAACCCTTTCCCGAGTAGATTTATAAATAGAACGGCTTGTTTCCCGCGAAAAGTGTCATATTTCTGTGAGTCTCGTATGTCACCGTGAAAAAAATGAAGTTGGATGAAGTCGAACTCATTAGCCCGTCCTTCGACCGTTTCCCTTTTTTACTATACGTCCATTTTTACAATTTTACAGCTGCTGGGATCTGGGTACCATGAAATAAAAGTTAATGAACTACCCGACTGAGACTGAGCATGAAGCGATGGGATAAAGGCAGCGAGCTGAGGGTCACGTAAAGGTTATCTTTGCGAGTGTTTTTGTTTTTGTTTTTGCCGCTTTATATCCCACATTTAAGCATGCACCTTGAAGAGAGTCGATGATTAAGCGTTCTGTGGACGATTTGGAACTTTTCGATGATCAGCGCCGAAAAAGTGTCAGGATCATTTGATTTTTGTCACCACCGTGGAGTGGATTTCGCCAGTTAAGCACCGCATGCAAAAGCGATGACCTAAGTAGCGACTAACAAGGAATGCTTCAGTTCCGAAATTTGAGAAATTGCAGTCTTCCTTTACAACTGACTTGTATCACCATGAGAATTGCCTGATAAAACTGGCGCTTGAAAAGTTGAACAGAAGACAACAGTTGCTCGACCGTGAATAATTTGCTAACGGAGAAATTTGTGACATCGCGCTCCCGTCCAAATACCCACTTATCTCAAGAAAAACAAAATGGATTGTATCTGCGCCAAAAGAATTATGACTGCCTAACAGGACAATTCTCAGCAGTTAATGCAGAAGTTTAGGCTTAATTCTTTCCTCCGAATTCGCATCGGTGGATCACTTTTTTGCGAGAAAACAATGGCTGGGCCCGGCGTTACAAAACATAGAACGGAATCATCACACTAGCTGAAGGACAAAACAACCACAAGGACTACAAGTATTTATTCAGATAAACGCATTTCGGAAAAAAAAGCCTTGAAAAACTAGAAATTTGATTAATATTGAGTCATTTAGCCGAAATAAGAACCTTAA